GTGAGAAAAAAGAAGACTACAACCTACAGCTGTAACTGCAGTACACTGCTGTGTTTCGGTCACTAACACAATCAAAGTTTGTCGTTGCTACGTGACAACCGTGAAAAGATTGAATGGTTGATGAAAGTTTCGGAATACAAATAGAGAAGAAAACAAAAAAGAATGAAATAAAACCCAAAGCAGGTGCAAACCATTTGCTTTGATGTCCTCAAAGTTCCTAAAAGTCTCCCTCCACAGTGACTTCTTGTCCTCTTCAAGCTGAAACAGAAGCAGAAAGCAACCAAAAGACCAAATGAAGTTTTCATAAAGAGCAGCCTGAATTTGCACTTTGAGTTTTCTTATTTCCTCACCTTACTACGTTGTGATGATGCCAGGTTAAAAAAAAATAAAAATAAAAATAATACAAAAACAACAACAAAAAAGACATCTTAAATAATTATAGGACCACCATCTTTGTTAGAATGAAAAGATTGTCTTACAACTTCACCTGGGTTTATTCTGCAAGCTTTCAAACCACAGTTTGTCCTTGGAGTTGAAGGTGACGATCACTTCCTGATCACACAAAACCTCCAGCCGGAAAGGGAAGTGCCACACTCTGACCTGGTATCGTCCTGAAGACCAGGACAGGGTGACGGAGTCCTTAGTCTTGCTCTCCACTCTCAACCTGCAAAAAAGAAAACGGTGAATTTCCAGTGATGCTCGTATGCAGAAATGCTGAATATAATCGGAACAAGAGGATATTGGAAGTTCGGTAGCTCTTACTGTTCACTAGGAGGTTCCCCGGTCAACACATCTGGAACTCTGTAACGAGTTTTGATGGGCCAGATCTCGTCTATTACGATCCTTACGGTGTCGTTTTTGGAAGGTGTCAAAGAAAGAAGCAGTCTGGTCTGTGGATAAAAAAAATGGTTCATGAAGAAAATTGTTTATTTGGATGGAAGGGTAAGGATCTTCTGATAAAGACCAAAGAGGCAGAGAGAAATTATATCAAAGAGATACAACTGTATAAATGTCATCAAAAAAATATCGACATCACAACATGAAGAATGAGTGAAATTTCAAGAATTTCCACCGAGAAATTCATACAATTTCTTAAAAGGATTTCCTTCCTTCTTGAATTACTTTCACAGAAAGACAGAAATTCAAGACAAGATGACAAAGAGACAAGTCCTTTCATGTTTTTGTCAAAGTTTTAAACTAATAAAAACCAATTTGATCATCAGTATTTTACCCAAGCGTAGGGTTATTTTAAAAGCAACCTTTAGTCTGTTGGGAAGTGCCATAAATTTTTATGAAGTACAAAAATAACTTTTCCCTTTTCCTTATCAGATAAATGGCTTCCCTCAGCCAGAGGTTAGGTTTCCTAAAGAATGATTAAACATAAACAGCACAGTGGATGTACAACATTGGAAATATCTTGGTACAATTGTCGACAACCACTTGACCCTTGATGCTGATGCGGACGCAGTCGGGCTCATCTGCTTTTGTATTGTTAATTTAAAAAAAAGTTAAGTTTTGATGTTGACATCCTATTTATGAAAATGTTTTGTCCCTCAGGTTTATCGCTGGACTAATCCTGGCTCTGCTTTGTAAATTGAGTAAATTACCCCCAATATAAAGTATATGTAATGTGGAAAAAAAAACATGGATAATTTTTCCTGTTGAGTTTCAGTAAACCAACCTTTGTGCCATCTTCCAAAAGCTCAAAACGTGCGCCCTTCTCCGTGAGGACAAGGGAATCCAAAAGAAGTCGGTACTTCAGGTTTGGACCCTGGATCTGTCGCCTCAAAAGTAGATCAAAATTTATAAGCGCATGGATCTTTCTCAATCAAAAAGTCACATTAAAAATATTGTATACATACCTGTAAAAAGCAACATTCTCACTTTTTTTGAATTTCTCCTTCCCCTCATCATTAGGGACAACACTGAAACCCAGTTATAAAAGAAAAGACTACACTCATTATTCAGCTATTAAAAAATTACATGCAAAATTGGTGAATAAAAAAAGTAAATAAACCTAAAATCTAGTGAATTAGTAGACCCATATACTTTTCATTTGATAGAAAGCATTAAATGTGCAAATCTAAACTTTCTCCATTCAGTTTTATTCATCAAAATATGCCAAAGGTCAAGTTGCAGGACAGACATAACATGAAGCAACATGCAAATACCTAATAATAGGTTCGCTCTTTGCCGCCATTTCAAGCAAACTCGGACAGAAACAGCAGCTGTTTACTGTGGTCCTTTCTCCTTCAGTGAAACACAATGACTGGTTTTTTATGAGTTAACGTGTTCCTATTGACAGCTGAAGGCTGAGCGTGTAGAAGAAGGAAGTGAGTGCGTCAAATCCGCAACAAAAATCCAACGCACGGTGAGGATTTTCAAAATAAAACGAAATCCTACGTCGTGTCAGTGGATGCGTAGCAACTCCGCCATATTGTGAGTGGCAAGCTTGGCAGTAAAAACATATTGTAGCAACAACATCAACAACAAAAAAACCGCAAGGAAACATATTACTTTTTTTATTTAGTAAAAAAAATATTTAATACAAATATTAGTACATAAAATGCGCCATAAGAGGCATAAAATGACATCGGAAACTATTCTACGTCTATAAAAATTTCATTAACGCTAAAGTTCCGCTATGTTGTAAGAAAAAAAAAACTATTATTCTTGGGTTGCGTGTTTCAAATCGCATTTTTCTGTTTTTAATCATCACTTCAATACATAATTGTAAATTAACTAATTTAACATACATACATACATACATACATACATACATACATACATACATACATACATACATACATACATACATACATACATACTTAAAAGAATAATATTTTCATTTTTGTTTGAATAAATAGCTCTCGTTTGTTATTATTCAAATCAAACAAGTTCGAAATCCACCTTATGGCAAAATATGGAATTGTTTAATGACCTCTGTCTCCCTCTTGTGGCGGTTGCGTAAGTTACAGGGGAAAATCGCCCAGCCGGACCTGGAGGCGGATGCAAGTCCACCTTACCTGCAGTGCATTTCTGCAAGATGCTAGATGTCCAGTTTCATCGCTTGTGTTTGGTGGTCTTAGCGTTCGGTTTTCACCTCGGAAGGGCGGCGGAGGTCTCAGTATGGAGCGTAAACATCAACTCGGTCAGTGTTTTACCTTCGGTGTGAGCGTTTCTACGGAGAAAGCCCAGGCTCGTGCTAAATGTTCAGCAGCTGGTAGCTAAGGCTGCTAACTAGCCACTAGCAAAGCGCTCCTCCGGATGAGAGGTCCAGCTGCTGTCAGCAAGGCTAATGATACATGACTGCTGATGTTCTTGTCATTTTTTTAAATACTCGGAATTTTCCTTCGATAGAATCCAAAATGTCTGTAACAAACTAAAGGCAGGCTGTCTCCTGGACTGTTAAGGCAGCTTTTAATGAAAATATATTTTTTTAAAGATGTACGCCTGCCAGCAATAATAATTGCTGTTAAGGTATTCTTAAATTCAGGGATGCTAACCGTTGTGCCATAGGCGAAATAAATAGATGTAGAGATAAACTTGAATTCCAAGATTTAATTCCATCAGTTCATTCATTTACATGGAGCAAGCTCTTGTCATGATATTTCGTTGTATTTATGTAAATAATAATAAAGGTCACAAAGGAGAATTTTAAGAACCATCAAATCTACTTAATCTCAACTCCAGTTAGATTAAATGTGGCAGCTGTAGCTCTTAAAAACATACAATAATTGAATTAAATAGTAGTTTCAAATATGTTTGTTTTTGTATTTGTTGCGCTGTCATGGAGACGACAGTGGAAAAAGTACCTCCAACAGCAAAAGCAACAATCCCGACCCCTGTGTCAATTTTGGGAATTTGCCAATATTACATACAACTTAGCGATATCACTGCAAATGATTTTTATGAAAATAATCTATTTTCTTTATGATAAACAAAAGAAGGGAGGAAGGCTTATTTCTTTCCTTCCATCCTTCCTTGCACCCTTTGTTCCTTAATTAATTTCATCCTCCTTTTCTCCTTCCCTTCCTTCGTTCCTTTCACCCTTCCTCACAGCTTTCTTTCTATTTTTCTTTCTTGATTCCTCTCTTTCTTTCTTCTCTTCTTTCCTTCCTTCGATCCAAAAATTGAACAGTATTCATCAATACGCATCTGGAAAGTTGTATCTGTATATTTGTAAATTACCCTGAATTTTCTAACTGGCATTAGAAAAGGATGCATTAATGGTGGAATACGTAATAGGCAAAACCAGACACTGCCAGGCGGTTCATAGAGGTCCTCATAGAGGTCCAGAAAAGGGAAGAAAAGATGAGTTGCTGCGTCAGATAAAGTCTCATCAGTTGCTGTCTGTGTTGTGCTTTCAGACACAGGACGCTGTGTTTCGGAAGACGCTGTACGCCAACACCACCATCTTTATGAGGTGTAAGTACTCGCATCAAAACATGTGTTTCTCTGTAGCCTCGGTTTTATTCTTGTATCATGGCCACTTTTCTTTGTGCCTGGGCATTTTTTTCACTGACCTACGGAGCTCAAGGTCGTTGTGTAACCTCACCCCACCTCACATTCCTCTTGATAACATAATCTGTGAAAGTCGTTTAAAACTGTGAGCTTTTGCTCCCTATTGTGTCTGATGATCCTGTTTGCTCTCCTCTGTGCAGTTCTGAACAACATGGGGTCATGTGAAAAATTTCTGGCCTTTAACATCAGCTGGTACCTGCGCTCGTCCGTTTGCTACAATGAGGTCTTCAACACCCCAGTGAGCGGTGCTTCTGTTTGTTGATGTTTGGTCTTTCTACTCAGCGTAGCTGCTAGACTTCATAGCCACCACTCCCCCCAACAAACCCAGGAAATGTTTTGATGTCATTTTCAGGTTTTCTTGGTTCAAATTACATTCCTGCTCTTTTTTATTAAGCTTTCGACGCACAAATAGGCCTGCCACCGATCAGTTTTGCCAGACGATAAATTGTCCCTGCAGTTATTATGATAAAGTACAACGTTGTAATTTTGAGACCATTTTAAAGTAATGTATTGATAATGGTATAATAATGCAAGTTCATCCTCTCAAACACCAATAAACTTTAATTTTATAAAGAACATTTCACACTGGAAGTGGGCGATATTTTAAATATCCAAAATAGGGAAGCACGATTTATCGGTGCTAGCATCGATATCAAATGAAAATCATTTTTTATGGGATCGGTCCGATAAATGAAACTGGGCTGATATGAACAACCAATATTTATTTTCATCTTGTTGCCATCCGTTTCTGCTTGGTCTGGTGCTGAAACAGTAGAGATAGTAACAGTAATGCTAATATCGGATATCGACATCAAACCCGAATTGTTATATTGGTGCATCTCTAATCCAAAATAAGACATGGCGACCAAAACAATGAATTAAACTGATATAAGAACCACACAACTAAAACCGTAAATGAAATGGATTATGATGTCTGCGTGAACAAAATTTCCCTTCAAAAAATATTGAACATCAGAATGGAAATTATTGAACTCATCTTGATTTTTCATGCGATTAATAAGCAAATGTGCAAATATACGGATCGGAGTATGTTTTCACCCTGTTTAGTAAATCGTAACTGCAGATGAAATCCAGTTATGTTTTTGTTTTTGTTTGTTTTTTGAAGGACAACAAAGCGATGAACATGTTCGGCATGGACCACATGTTGAAAGACGGTTGGAGCGGCTTCTACACTCAGGGCTACATGTACTTTGAGAACTGCTCCTACCTTTTCACCCCGAAGGTAAAAGCTGACAAAACGTATTCGCTTTCGGTAACACCTGCGGTACCTGAACACGTTTGAAAAAAATGGGGTTTTTTTGCAGGTTTATTTCCCAGACTTCAACCCCTATCAGCCACTGTCCAGTCCAAAGGTGATTGATTTCATTGGTCTGAAAGCTCCGACGTCGTTTAACACGGCCGCACGGTTTTATTGGTGTTCTTTGTTTATTGTAACTTTGTCTTTCAGAGTGATCCATCAAATCAGACCTTTACTTGGCCTGAAAAACCGGTGAGGAATCCTTTTATTACATTTAACTAAATTGTACAAAGTAACTGCGTTAAACCATATTTTCAATTTTACTGATACTTATTGATACTGTTGTGGTATAAATAGTTGAGAAAATAAAAATAAGGTCTTTTTTTAACATCAATAGTTGACATTTATTGAGACAACAATAAATCATAATTCTTATCAAAATACAATAAATGCCCAACCATACATCAAACCAAAATTTAGTAGTTGAAAACTTAAAGATGCACGATATATTGGTATTGGTATCTGTATTGGTCGATTTTAGTAACTTTTTTATCATATCGGTATTGGTGATATGATAGTGATGCAGCACAGGATTATGGGAAGCAATGTGGTGGTGAGGACACCACCACATTGGAAATGTATATATAGTAAATATAAAAATACTATTATAGCTGCTGGCCGGTAACATTATCGGCCATAGCAGCAGAATATTGCATATCGATATCGGCATCGGCGCAAATGTTCAAAATGGTGCTTCCCTTAATAAGCTGAACTTTTTTTTTTTTTTTTTATAAAAATCCTAGCTTTATGTTTCACATTTCTGAAATCCAGATGTGGCTGCACATCGATTTCGGCCCAGATTTTCAAATCGGTGCACCCTTTAAATAAACAGAATTTTTTTTTATGTTTTTCAAATTAAAATTGTGCCCTTGTGTTTCAAAATTCTCAAATCTGGAAAGATTTTTGCTCATTTTCACTGACGAGGCTAAGTGATGTTTTCCAGGAAATCAGCGCGGTGGCCAAAGCCTGGGTGGACGGGCCCTACCTGTTCATAGTGAAGGTGCAGCCTGTGGCTCGCAGCTTGGAGATAGAAGACATCTTATCAGAGCAGCTCAACTTTGCTTTCACAAGTGAGGGCCAAACTTTATTTGTAAAACTTTTCTTTTTAGAAAATTTCCTTCTAAAATCAGCTTTTAAATATCACCAGTGACCGATTTCCTTTTAACTCCTCAGTGAAAGTGGAGATGAAAGGACCACATGACTACTCGTCCCCAGCAGACTGGCCTCTGATGATCGTACGCATCTTTATTTCCTGAAGGATAACTCACCTTCTTTTTCTTTATTAGTGCTGCACCTCATTCGGTTGCTGTTTGCATGGCCTCAAAGTGAAGCTGCGTGCGTTTCTCTCCCAGTTCTTCATGGTGATGTGCATCGTGTACGTTCTGTTCGGGGCGCTCTGGCTCTTCTGGTGCGTCTGTTACTGGAGGGATCTGCTGCGGATCCAGTACTGGATCGGCGCCGTCATCATCCTCGGCATGCTGGAGAAAGCCGTCTTCTACTCCGAATACCAGAGCATCCGCTACAAAGGAGACTACGGTCGGACATGTTTGCTCGGGTCTGGGCGTGTTTGTTTTTCCATTTCCCCCCCACCCCAAGTCCGTCTTGTTGCATTTTGGTTTCTGTTTTTGCAGTCCTGGGAGCTGTGATTTTTGCCGAGCTGCTCTCTGCGCTCAAACGATCCCTGGCTCGAATCCTGGTTCTCATAGTCAGTCTTGGTTATGGCATAGTCAGGTGTGTCAGCTGCTGTGAAAGATAAAAATCTAGGAGCCCGGCGCATGAACTGCGGCTGAATAATCCCTGTTTCTCCCTGCGGTGCAGACCACGGCTGGGTACCACGGTGCACCGCCTGGCGGCCGTTGGACTCCTCTACCTCCTCTTCTCCTCTGTAGACGGAGTGCTCAGAGTGACGGGCGTAAGTAACCAACTTTCTATATGAGACATTTTTAAGCAAGCAGTTCGTCGTGACAGTATTCATGTCCCTAGACCTTTTCCAAAATGTGCCACTTTACAACCACAGAGTGCAAAAAATGAAATGTGTATATATGTTTTTACCTCTGATACTCCTAAATATAACTTAGTGTAATCAACTACATTCAGAACTCGCCTAATTAATAGTCGATGTTCGTTTTATTCTCGGTAAAAATCCAGGTATGAAGACATTAGTGACCAAAGAAACAAGCTAAACCTCTGCTTGATGTTAAACCTGTCGCCCAATCACATCTCATCACTACAACTTGTACAGAAAAACCAGCATAGAAAGTAATATAAACTCTTTTACAGTGGGACTTGATAATAAAAGAAATCTAACTTTGGGGTGTATTAAATCGAAAACTATATATTGACAAAATAAGCAACTTTTCAGAGTCTTTTTTTGCTACTAAATTATTAAATAAGTAGAAATATGAGCATAACAACAAAGATATTGATTCTTTTCAATCTGTTATTTAGGTCATTCCACCATCAGATTGGGGCAAAGTGCTATTAGACCAATTCAGCTTTCAGCCATTCATGAAACGTCTTTGAAAAAAGAAAATCCTTTAGAGAAGTGGACTGTGGACGGTAACATTAGAGTTGAGGACGTGGCTTGTTTAGTATTCAGATGCTACTTCAGGCCTGAATAGGTTCGCTGATACGCTAACTTTTTTTATTTTTAGCACAACCTGAACATAGCAGTCTTTTTCAGTTCCCATCAAATCGTTATTTTGAGGCGATGGTTAACCCTCAGTTTGCTAAGAGAAGCAGTTTTATCGTCTGTCGATGTTGTTTGTGCGTCAGATTTACCTAAAAACCTTCAATTTCCTCAAAAGCCGACAGTGCGCCTTATAATCCGATGCGCCTTATATATGGACCAATATTGAGCCACAACAGGTCTAGCAACTACGGTAAGCAGCCGCCGACTTCATTTTCGCCTGTGGAAGAAGAAGCGCGCGGTGCATGCTGGGATAGTTGTCAGAACGCTGGTTTGTTAATAAAGTTTGACTGGCCTATCTCCCTACCGACCATCTAGAATCAGGTCGTCTGCAGGTCATTTAGCACCACGTTCTACAAGAACAGGCTGTGCGCGAACGGAGAATGGCGACCATCGTCCGGCCACGCCCCGGCCCAGTCGCAGAAGGATCTCCTCGCCGACCGGAGTCGGACTGTTTTGTTGACATTCTTTATGTCAACAAAGTGGCTTTAGACATTCACCCGGGGTGCTTCAGGGTGTGCTTCGACTAGGGTTACCAAGGGACCAGCCCTTATACATTTAAAGAGAGACAGAGACTGCGGCGGCAGCGTGTCGGTTGGTCTGTGTTACCCAGAAAGCAGTTGGGCACAATATCGCAACACCAACACCGTGAGTGAAACAATGACTGGGGCAGCCTACTTTATAAAGTACTCGGGGACCAATGCTTTATTATTACACATCTACATTTGTAGATTACGTAACAATTCGCGTCCCGTATAGGTGACGCCTCATAATGCGGTGCGCCTTATATATAAAAAACGTTTTAAAGTAGGGCATTCATTGAAGGTGTGCCTTATAATCCGGTGCACCTTATAGTGCGGAAAATACGGTACAGGCGTACCAGAAATGCGTGAGTGCAAACGTTCTGGCCCAAAAAATGGATTAAGAAGATTTAACAAGTAAAAATCTGTGATATTGTAACTCAAAAGAAATGATTAAAAGTCCCGGTGCTACTCTTTTATAAAGAAAACTTTAAATTTAAAACCACAAGTATAAGACCCAATCACTCCATTATGTGTGCATAAAGGACCATAAATAAAGCCTGAATACAGTAAACAGTACGGTCTAAATTTCAACATTAAAGAAACATTTTAAAGTAACTAAGTCTCATGTTGAGTAACTTATCATGGTCGCCACCTCTAGGTGGCAGAGTAACCTGTTCAATTCTACAAAACAGCAGTGAGGAAACAAAATGAGGATCTTTAAATGCACCTCAACAGGACAGTCTGGATCACTTCTGACAGATGTAAAGTGGCCGTTTGGCTAATTTTGACATATTTTTACATTAGTTTTTTTTTTTTTAAATTAGAATGCACTGTTCCTTTTAATTAAAGATGAAAACAAGAATATCAATGATAAATCTTCTACCACTGTGAGGATGGAAGAAATGAATATTAATATAAATGTAAACCCCCTTAAAAATGTTTTATTTGTAAAACTTTCCTTCTCATTTTTATTTATGCACTACTTTGTCACATAAAATCTTATTAAAATACATTAAGAGTTGTGGCTGTAATGTTTGAAAATGTAAAATAGTTATGACTGAACATGAGTACTTTTAGCTTACAGATTAGTCATAATCTATAAGCTAAAACTATTTTCCTCCTGTTCAGAGAAACGCTCCGTTGATCGTCTTTTCTGTCATCTCGTTCCTCCAGGGTTTCTATGGAACCGTCGCCCTTGTGGCTAATCTCAGCCTCTCTCTCATCGACTCGTTTGTCATGTGGTGGATATCCTTTTTTTTTATTTTTGTTTGTTTCACTCAAGTGGGCTTGCTCAAGTCCAATCTGGGACTCCCAGCAGTGTTCTGTACCCTGTATAAGTATTGTTTTCCCATCTGTGCTCACGAGGTTCTCCTTAATCTGCCTCTACATTTTCATCAGCTTGTCACAAACCACTCGCCTCCTGAAGCTCCGCAGAAATTTGGTCAAGCTGTCTTTATATCAGCACTTTACCAACACGCTCATCTTCTTCGTTGTTGGTGAGTTGAAGCCGGTCTGGAAGAAGGAAACTAAAACTCAAAAGCTACATGAGTTAATAGCAAAATGATTCATCTTTAGCTTCTGTTTGTGTATCTGTATGAGTGAAATTGTTGTATATTTTTTTATATTGTGAAAGAAGAAAACAGAATTTAGAAAAATAGTAGATTTTGCTAGCAAGCTACCTGGCTAGCTACTTAGCTTTCTTGCTATCTAGATATCTAGCTGGACATCAAGTTAGCTAGCTAGCTTGCTAGCTAAATCAATACAGATAGAGCCAGATTGATAGATCTAACTCCATATAGATAACTACATTTAGATAGCTAGGTCAGGCTAAATGTAGATAGATTGATCTTGAGCTATATATCTGGACACCTAGATGTAGATTGATAGATCTAGACAGATGGTTTTAGAAAGATCCATTGTTGTTCTGACTGCTGTTGCTCTGTAGGCAGGCTGCCATTACGCTGGCGCTGTAGACATGTGGTTATTTAAGGCACAGCAGAGGGAAGTGATGAGTTAGAGGTTGGTCAGGCTCAGAAAGTCCCATAATTCAGTTAGAAAAACTAAACAGTAGCTCAGAAATGCTGCTGAAGGATCTTAATCTGTAAAACCTCACCAGACATTTTGAACTCTTTAATCTTGTAATTCTAATTCAAGCCATATTTCATCCATTATAATCAAACTCTGTGAGTGCAAACCCTCCACCATAACGAGCTCTGATGTGAGCTGGCCTTTAGGTTTCTGCAGCGCTCTGGTAAAACAGTAGCAGATCAGACCAGATCATGCCTCTGCCATTATGTCCATCACCGTCTTTTACAGCAGTGCAGCTGTCATGGAGTGGATGGTAATAAAGTGAAAGCTGCACAGGCTGAAACTGTGAATAATGGAGGAAATGAAAAGCTCATGTTTCAAATTGTGTCCACAGTTTCCATCATATTCATCATCTGGACCACCAAGGTGTTCAGGCTGGTCGACTGTCAGAGGGTCGGTTTCTGTTTCTGTTCTCTTCTGACTCAGATAAATTCTGTCTAGTTTGTGGAGAGGAGAACGTGAAGCTACTTTCCTTTGCGCTCTGTGTCGACTCTCTCCCTTGTAGGGCTGGCGGGACTTGTGGGTAGACGATGCGTTCTGGCGCCTCCTGTTCTCCACTATGCTGCTGGTCATCATGGTGCTGCTGCGACCCTCTGTTAACAGCCAGAGGTTAGAGAGACTGGGGAAGAACGGAAATTAATTGTAATTACTGAGCTGAGAGCTGAATTTATCCTGGGTTGTGTTTTTATCCCCAGGTTCTCTCATTCCCCTCTTATTGACGAAGACGATGAAGAAGATGAAGCCAAGGAGCCGATGATGAACGAAGCTTTTGGTAAGATGTGCTTGTGTTTTTTATCAGGATGATAAAGTGACTTGCATCAGTATTTATAGTCCTCTGTGAAAATTTCCCCCCACTTGAACAGTTTTATCTCTAATTCAAACTTCTGCTCTACTGACGGGTTGCCATTTTTTTAAACGAATCGAACACACCGAATTCTGCAGCACATCTACATGTTTGGATTGTCAAAGTCAAGCTAGCGTATCTGACCTACTTCACTCTTGCTATTTTTTGAAATTCAAACTTTTTTCTGACCTGTGAAATGTGATACCCTTTGACCTTATCTTGTAGTTGTCATAGTGTTGACAATTAGCAGCAAAGCACTGCGTCCCTTTTTCTTTTATATATACATATAAATCACATGTACATTTCAGATTTAGCGCGTCGTGATGACAACTTGACAGCTAAAACCTATGGTTGTCGTCGTTGGCAAGACCTTGAGGGTGATGTCACGTTGCAATGTGTCTATAGCATTAACGTACATCCAGTGTTGTAGTTATAATGTAAGGTAAATCACGTCTGTCTGTGTATGACCTCAGCTTTTCTTATTTGTACATCCAGAAGGAATGAAGATGCGGGGCACGAAACCTGATGCTAACGGCTCCCAGAAACTTCTGAATAAAGAGGTAAACGCTGTGGTTCTGTTATCTTTATGTTCTTCAAGCATTAGTTTGTTTAAAATGTTTTTTTTTCTTTTTCAGGATGAAGACCTGAAATGGGTAGAAGAGAACATTCCTACCTCCGTTGCTGATGTGTAAGTCTTTTCATTTTGGCATGAATTCCACAGAAAATGTTTGGGCATTCAAACAGTTGCAAAATATTGCTGGCACGCTTAAATAGCAACATGCTAACACTCTCGTCTTCTTTCCCCTTCATTCAGAGCTCTCCCTGTTATGCTGGATGAGGAAGAGGTAAGGTCTTCCTCTTTCCCCCTCGTGCCGATCCCATGATTCTAGTCACAGTTTCCACTATTTAAAGACCTCCAGCCATTGACCTTTAATTTGCCCTTTATCTCAAAGTCACGCTGACGCTTGCACATAAATCTCTTGTGCTTTTCTTCTAGGAAATCCTGAAAACTAAGATGGAGCGATCTAAAATGGAGTAGAGGGAAAGGCAAGAAGAAAACGAAGCAGCAATGAATGAAATTATAGAAATGTCATCACCAAAAAGAACGTGGAAGAACATTTTCTTAGATTTTATTTTCTTTCTTTTTATTTTTACACAAGTTGTGTTAAGCTCAGAAGTGTAAATAGTGTTAGAACGAGGAGATGATGTATAACAGAACATTTCTATTTGTTTCACCTCGGTGTCTTCACTGTCAGCTAAGCTAAAGCACATAATTTCCACGTTAAATAAGATTCTGAAACCTATTCCCGTGATATTTGAATTAGTACCATGTGAAACTAAGGCGGATATGACTGATGATAAAATCTTCTGGGATTAGTTCCATCCAACCACTTCTTACTAAAGGAGTTCAGCCAACCAGAACATGCTGAAGTATGAAAATGTCACATAGCGCTGAAAACAGGAGGATATTGTTGTTGAAGTCAGTTCTAACACTTAAACAGAAAGTGCTGACTCTTATTTGAAATCGTTTTCAGAATGTATTTCTTAAGTGATCATATGAAAGTGGGGAAAATATTAGTGTTTTAATTGGTGTATCAAAGATAATGGTGCGTAACTGCCACAAAATCACATTAAATTAAAAATGATTTCCTTTGCTGCTGTTTTTAGTTTTACTTGCTCAATAATAAATTTGTTTTTAAAAATCTGTATGTTTAAAGATCCAAAACATGAAAAGAGGCTTCAAACTATCGCGTTATTAAAAGAAAAATTCACATTTTCCAAATTTCTGTGATCATCAGTTGCTTTTACCACTCTTGGCTTGTAGTGAGGGGCCGAACAAAATCGTTGTCAAGGGCAGCAAATGGCCCCCGGCCCACAAGTTGGACACCCCTGATTTAAAATCATTTTACAAAGAGGTCAAAAGTTCAGTTTTGGTCTCATCTGACTAGATCGCCTCGTTCCACGTGTTTCCTCTCTTCCATGCACAGACTTACGGCAAACTGCAAGCAGAAGCTCTTATGACTTCCTTTCAACGCTGGCTTTCTTCTTGCCTTAAAGGTCACATTTGTGGAGTTCACGACTAATCGTCACCCTGCCGACACATTCTGTCTGCTGTGCTCTTGGTCGTCATCATTCTGTTTGCTCACTTATGTGTTTTAATCCCTGAGGCCTTCACAGAACAACTGGAATTATATCGAGATTAATTACATTTACTGCATAGGTGATTTTATTTAGGGATATACGAGTAAAAGGGGCCGACTACAAATGCATGCCATACTTTCGGAAATCTCTCATCTGTATATTTGAGGGGTACAGACACTTTTCCCAGGCAGTGTTTTTAAACAGTGTACATTTTCTCAGATTATTTGTATCCAGATTAGCTCAAGAAGCTGCAATTTTGTTTTTACATTTCCTTTATTACTTACATGTGTAAAGTAATGTATGGATATATTTTATGGAAGGCCAAATTCTGTTGCTGTTGACATTAAACAAGTGTTTCAGCTGCGTTCAATGTGGCAGCCAGTAAATCTCACCCCTCATATGGGCCTACGTTTCTGACACACATGATTTACAGCATGTATCTTAGAGGATAATTTCACTAATTGGATAAATGCTTAATTTAGCACCTCACCCCAATTCAGACATTAATTAATAAAAAATTTAAAAAAAATCAGAAAATTAGTGAATAGTTACTGTTAGAATTGTTTACAGCTTTACCCATCACACTGCAAATATGGTTTTATCTCCCTCAATTTATGAAAATATGTGTAGATATTCTGGAATCCTTGTGTTCTGGTTTTATAAAGATTTAAGTCTTGTTAAGAATATTTTAATTGGAAATATTTGACAGTCTTTAAAGACTTGGATCTGTTGTGAAGCTTTTTTGCATATGTTCTGCAGAGAAACTTTATATTAAACGACCATAAAAATATGATTTTGTGTGTGTGTGTTTTTTTTTTTTTTTGCACTTCGTGAACGGTAAACTAATATCTGTATTTTCTCACAGACTTTATTCACTACAGTCTAAGTACATCCATTATTGAATACACAAACGTGTCCATTTAGTTGTCTCGCCATCCATTAATTTATTTGTCCATCCAATAATTGGTCCGTTTTTTTCTCCATCCTAACACGCATGCGTACTGACGACTTCTACACTTTTATTGTCTTGTCATATTTGTCAAGTTGTTTTCCAACCAACCAAATATCTTTTTAAAACCATTAATCTTTTCCTTTTTTCATTTTTTTTGTAGGACCAACTTGCCGTAGTAAAATTATTCGTCATAAATTCACAGTTAGCTATTGTATTAAACTTTAAAATGGGCATGACAAGAGTCCAGATATTTAAGTCTGCAAAAGCATGGAAACGTCTGAGACCCCTGAGTCCACATCCGCTATTTAGATGATTTGTTTCTAGTTGCAGGGTCATTTAATGTCAAATTATGTTTTCTGTATTGTTTTTTTTTTTTTACAGTGTACTAAGAAGAGAAGAATTTTCATTCCTACCAGTAGTACATTTAAAATGTCAATAATTTAATTTAATGTAGAAGCTTTTGAATAATTTTCTTGCTGTCCATTAGTTGCGGTGGAGGGGAAATAAAAGCCACTGCACCTTTAATTCGGTCCTCGTGAGTTCAGTCACGTGTCTGTCAAACGCTCGCGCAGCTGTCAACAGTCAGGAAGCAGCGAGAAGCAACAGTGGAAGTAAAAACTAAGCTGCTACTCAGTTTTTTGCGGCTATTATTGGGTGTATGTTTTCACCTGCGGCTACATTGGGACTTATGGAAAGATGGCGGCCTCGACTCGCTTTTCAGTAGACCGCCAGTGAAAGAAAACAATGTTTACCACTAGCTGTTGTTTGCTAACTTCTAAGCTAGCTCGCTAACAGTCAGCTGTTGTTATGGTATGGTCGGGGCGATAGCCGGCTATTAGCCCAAGTGTTCCGTTGTCATATTTGTCCAAAATACCAGGATTTACCAGACTGCAATTTCTACGGTCACTCTGGACGCATGGAACTGGTCGGCCGGCGTTTAATGGCGACTTAAAAAGCTGCATCACCCTGACAGACTCGTCAGCTGTTGTCTGGCAATTTATCCAGCAGAAACATTGTGTAATAGAACCAGCAAAAGTGCTTCAAGATGCATGACGCGTATGAGCCAGTGCCTATTTTAGAGAAGCTTCCTCTTCAGATCGACTGCCTTGCGGCTTGGGGTGAGTATCTTACAGAGGGTTATTGTCCCTCCGTGTGTTTACTGTCCTGCTGTCCCGAGTGTCCCCCAGATCTGGAGTGTCTCAGCTAACATCTCTAAGACTGGGATGGATGGCACAGCAGGGATACAAAATCTGGGAAAGGAGTGAGAAATATAAAAAACCTCTAAAAACATTTTTTTTATAATAAAAAATATATTATGCCATATACTTTTTTGTTGTTGATATAAAGCAAAAGTTGGAAAAGTAAAAAAAAAACAGTTTTAAACTACTAAAGCAACTACTAACAAGTTAAAATATTTAAACAATAATAATTTTCACTCATAAAAAGAAAAGGGGGAAATGAATTTTTCCATGTGTGCCTGGATACTTAACTTTGGATGAGACGATTTGTTCCAGCATAATGTCTGACCCTGTAATTGTAAAACTCTTTTTCTGTCCTTGCTAATATACACAAAACATTTTTGGCACAAAATAAAAATAAAAAAATTGGCGTTGATTTTAAGCGCTGTTGTAAAGTTAGTTTCCTATTAAACTGTTATGCTTAATTTTGTTGTTTTGCATTGTGATATACGTTTTATTTGAAGATATTTCCACCAACAGTTTAACTTTGTTTTAATCCTGTTTCCGTCACACAGGTCAACTTATGGATGCACTCAAAATGTCATGCAAGCCTCTTCCGATTTCATTCTGCTCTAAATCCTGCAACTATTACATAAAAAAAATAAATCAAAACATGTCTTATTTTTTGCTCTATAACTTAAAAAAAACACAGAAGAAAAAAAAAACATGGATCCACTTTTCGTAGATTGACTTTCTGTATTAAAAAGGTAACTCATTATGTTTCAAACTTCTTCCCTGTGTTTATCCCTGCAGAGGATTGGCTGCTTGTTGGCACAAAACCAGGACATCTTCTCCTGTACAGAATCAAGAAGGATGCAGGTAAAACAGACTGAGTGTTGGAGGTTTACTTTTGATATACATTTTTTAAAGTGTTTGTGGAACATTTACGTAATTTATTTTCTCCTCAGCCACCAACCGGTTCGAGGTGACTTTGGAAAAGTCTAATAAGAACTTCTCCAAGAAAATTCAACAGGTAGGATCAAACTGGGAACAATTTCAGAACAAATCAGTTGTTTTGTTTGTGAGGAAGCATTTAGACCTCTTCCTGCTTGGGTGTGTTGTTCTACATGAATCTTTTTTTAATGATCTGTGGTTTGTTGAGTTCAATTTAAAAAGCATTTAAACATAATTATTGTGTTTCTTCTTTCTCCAGCTCTACGTCGTTTCTCAGTATAAAATTCTCGTCAGTCTTTTGGGTAAGTTTTGGCGTCCCATTTATCTTCCATTTATTCATCATAATTGCTTATTGATTTAAAAATAATCTCTGAATACTTGAGATTAAAACCGGTGTGTGCACGGCTCCAGACTAACTTTTTGCAGCTTTGCACTTAACTTTTTTGTTTAGCTTCACTGCCACAACTTTAAGGTGCAACAATATGTTTTTACAGTTTCTTTACCACCACATTACACATCTAACGGTAAAATTTTGTTTAATTTCCAACACAAACATGAAAATTGTTATTATTAAAGGCACCAGTGCAACCAAAAAAAAAAAAAAAGTTTTTCTTTTTGCTTTTTTCTTTGGATGTGCAACAAAACTGTTTGCACTATGGAGCCCTGTTATCCACACTGGATACTTTTTATATCAAGACAAGTTGATTAAATCTCCTTCGTGTCTTCTAGAGAACAACATCCACGTCCATGACCTCCTGACCTTTCAGCAGATCACTGTGGTGCCTAAAGCCAAAGGAGCCACACTGTTTGCGTGTGACCTGCAGGTCAGTTAAAGTCTCCCTGGCTTCAACTCTTAACCACAAAAAACCTCCAGCAAATTTTAGCTCCGTCTGTCACTTTTTAATACCACTACCATTATCAACTAGTAATGATGATAAATAAAAAAAAATAAATGAAAATCCTCAAAAATGTTTTTTATAGTCTAAATATAACTTGATTACAGGACAAAAAGCTCTTAGGTTGAAACTTTTTTCTCTATAGTTGAATTTTTATGTTTATTATAATGATTTGACCTTCTTCCTGAGTTTCTTCTTGAGTATTTCTTATTAGCAATATAGCTAAGTAAATTCATGACTTGAGGATCTAAGCTATTGCCCAAGTCTTGTGCGGCTTAGTTATTGTTATTATCAAAGTACAGTACAAGCGTCATTTTATTTTATTTTTTCAATTAGTTGGTTTCTTGTAACACATGATGTAGCAGGTCGGAGATAAAATGTTGCAAAAGCAGCTGCATGCCAGAAACTGCATCTAAACTTTTTTTGTTTGTGCCATTAAAAACATAACTTCTGTGTTTTGTTGGGATTTTATGTTTTTTATTTTTTGTTTGTTTTTCTAGAGAACATTACTAAACAAACAGCATCATGA